TATTTTACTTCCGCACTGCGCCTCCTCTGAGTCTCGGTATGCTTTTCTCTTTCCTTCTAGTTGTAGAATTTCCACTCAGCCAGCCTTCCTGTGGTTCTGGATGATGTCCGTTCCGTCTTTTAGTTGTATTTTTGATGTGGTTGTGTGAGGCAGCAATCTCCGGTGTTTACCTATGCCGCCATCTTGGTTTCTCTCTAAAAATATTTTTATTTATTTCAGAGAGGAAGGAGAGAGAGATAGAAACATCAATGATGAGAGAGAATCATTGATCAGCTGCTTCCTGCACAACTCTCACTGGGGATCGAGCCCACAACCTGGGCATGTGCTCTGACCAGGAATCGAACAGTGATCTCTTGGCTCATGGGTCAACGCTCAACCACTGAGCCAAGTTGGCTGAGCAGTGTTTAACCTTTTTTTTTTTTTTAGTCTTTTTATTAATTTTAGAGAGAGATTTTAGAGAGAGGGAGAGAGAGAGAGAAACATCGGTCAGCTGCCTCCTGCATGCCCCCTACTGGGAGTCAAGCCCACAACCTGTGCATGTGCCCTGACTGGGTATGAAGCCAGCAACCTCTCGGTGCATGGTGTAGTGCCACACCAGCCAGGGCAGCGTTTAGCCTTTTGAAGAATTGTCCAACTGTTTACCATCTTTTCATATGCTCATTGGCCACTCCTATAAAGTATTTGGGGAAATGCCTACTCAAGAGCCTTTGCCCATTCTTAAATTGGGCTGTCTTTTATTGTTGATTTGTAAGAGATCTTTTTATAATCAGGATACAAGTCCCTTATCAGACATGGCATTTGTAAACATTTTCTCTTATTCTGTGGGTTGTTGCTATGACTTATTTCTCGCTCACCTTAGAGATTCACATCTGCTAGAAACAGATGACATTTCTCCCAGTATAATCTTCAGATGGAAAGAATGAGAGGGAAGAAAATCACTCTGCCTTTGTCCCGCTAGCCTCCCTGCCCCCACGGCCTCCTACCCGGATCTTGCAGTTGAGGATCTTGTCATTGACGTCCTCATCGAAGCACTGCTGTGGGTACACATCGATGCTGTGAGTCCTCAGGTTGTGCTGGATCTGGGGGTCCGGGAACCTCAGGTCAACCTATGCACTTTGCCCCTCCCCACCACCACCAACCCCATCCTCGCCTCAGGCACCCAGATCACCGTGCGCCTGAAGTTCTCTCGCTCCTCTATGGTCAGGCTGTCCGCCCGAGCAATCACGGGCACCACGTTCACAGTCCGGCACAGCCGCTGTAGAAACTCAATGTCCAGGGGCCGCAGGCTGCTCAGGCAGGACAGTGATGGTGGTGGTAGTGGCAGCAGCAAGTGTGTGAGTGAGGGGATGCCAGCCCACAGCCCATGCCAGAAACCCCTCCTTCTCCTCTCCCCGCTCCTCCTCTCTGCCCTGGTCGGCCCAGCCACCTCACCAGTGCCCAGTGGGCGGCACGAAGTACACACAGCAGTGCACCCGGGTGTCGGGGATGTGGCGCTGGCGGGTGATGAGGATCTCCTCCTGCAGGTACTGCTCATACTGTCCATTGATGTAGCCCAGGATGGGGTCCCAGCTGGGGTGGGGGATGGACCCGACCTCAGGGCTGTGCCCGGGAGCCCCACCTGTCTCCCTGGGTCCTTTGGGTAGTCGCCCCTGCAGATGACCAATTAACCCATTTGCCGAGGACACAGGACCTTTGATCTCGCACAACTTGAGGTGCTTGGGCACCTGAGTATACTCCTCATCTTTACTCCCTGCATCATCAGAGAGTCCCTCTGCCATTCTTGAGCTGAGGCCTCATCTTTTCTGTCTATAAAATGGGGACAATAAGAATACCTACTTTGGAGAGGGGAGAGTGAGCGTTAAACAAGAGAAATTGCCGCTGGCCTGGTTCAAACCACGGTGGACTTTTGCCTGACTGCAGAGGGATTGCCTGACTCCTCTCCCTGGGCCCCTTCTCTCTGTGGGCTGTTGTCAATGGCAGCCAAGAAGATCCTTCCAAAAGCAGGAGTTAGATCGTGTCCCTTTCCTGCTCAGCCTCTAGGGACTGAACAAAAGCCAGTCCTTATATTGCCCTACAGGGCCCTATAGTATAGTGGTCGGCAAACTGCGGCTCGCGTGCCACATGCGGCTCTTTGGCCCCTTGAGTGTGGCTCTTCCTAAGCCTTAGGAGTACCCTAATTAAGTTAATAACAATGTACCTACCTATATAGTTTAAGTTTAAAAAATTTGGCTCTCAAAAGAAATTTCAATCGTTGTACTGTTGATATTTGGCTCTGTTGACTAATGAGTTTGCCGACCACTGCTTCCTGCCTGCCCTCTCCTCCTCCTCTCCCTATTCCTCCTGCCCTGCCAGCCACACCAGCCTGCCTACCTCAGGGCCTTTGCACATGCCACCCTCAGCCTCAGACACTCCTTCCCCCATGTCCACGTCGCTCATCCTCTCATCTCCTGGATTCTGTGTCCAAATGTCACCTTTCTGAGAGATCTTTCTTGAGCACTCTGCTTAAAATTGCAACCCCCTACAGCTCTGTAGCTGTGTCGCTCTCAGAAATGTCCTCTTTGGATGATAGAGTTCAGGCTCTCTCTCGGATTAACTGATTATTTTGTTCATTGTCTGTCCCTCACCCCTGTGACAAGGTAAATTCCATGTAAGCAAGGATATTCACCTGTTTTGTTTATTGCTCTAGAACACAGCTTGCACGTAGCAAATGCTCAACAAAGCATGTGGTGCTGGGCCGGCTTCAGTGGAGTGCATGGAGCCCAGGGATCTGTACTGAGAAGGGCCCAGGCTTGGTGGACTGTTCTGCGGTTGTTCTTACAATTCTTGATCATTTTTGAACAAGGGAGCCCACATTTTCATCGCACTGGGTCCCACAGATTGTGCAGCCAGTCCTGATTTTGCGTGTCTGTCTCATTTAGAGCCTTGAACAGCTCTGCAAGGTGGGTGTCATCATTCCCAAGTCACAAAGGAAACCGGGGCTCAGAGAGCTTCCGTGACTAGTTCCAGGTTGTGCAGCTGGAAAGTGGTCTAACCCAGGGGTCCCGAGTGTGGGCTTCTACCCCCTGCTTATACCTTTCCTGGGTGCTTACTGTGTGCCAGGCAGCGGCTAAAACCTTTCCCCGCTGACTCCCTTCAATCTTGGAGGGAGAGTTGTGTGCACTCTTTATACAAACGAATAAACTGAGGCTCCAAGATACCACAGTCAGGTTGTTCCAGGGATGGAATGTTCCAGGGGCAGGGGCAGGGGCGGGGCAACCAGGGCTCCGCCCACTCCAGAGGACCCACCACTTGTCATTGTTGATTTGGTCCCCAAAGCCAGGCGTGTCGGTCACGGTCAGCTTGAGCTTCACGCCTTTCTCCTCGATGACTGTGGAGGAGAGTGGAGGGAGGAAGGGATTGGACTGGGTGGGACAAGGTGGGGGTAGGGGTGAGGGTGGGGCCTCACTCACCATGGGTCATCGAGTGCAGCTGCAGCGTCTGGGGCGTGGACCCCAGCACCAGGCCCGATGGGGTGGACTTCCATATTTTGGACTTGAACAGTGTGTTCACCATCGTGGACTTGCCCAGGCCACTCTGCCCTGGGAGTAACCAGATGACAGCAATAATGGTGGATATTTTAGGCAGTGTTTCTCAAACTCATAAATCTTTTTAGAAAGTAAACAGTTTTCTAAGTATAACATAAATATAAAAAAGTGCATACTATCCTAAGTGTTCACCTCAATGCTTACCCCTTTTCTTATGGAGGCAAAATTCATATAATAAAAGAATTAATCAGTAACCATTTATTTTTTTATTTTATTGTTCTTTAAAAATATTTTTATTGATTTCAGAGATCAAGGGAGAGAAAAATAGAAACATCAATGGTGAGAGAGAATCATTGATCGGCTGCCTCACGCAGGCCCCACACTGGGGATCGAGCCCACCACCTGAGCATGTGCCCTGATCAGGAATCAAACCATGACCTTTTGGTTTATAGGTCGATGGGCAACCACTGAGCCATATCAGCTGGGCAAGCAGTAACCATTTAAAGTGAACAATTCAGTAGCATTTAGTGCATTAGTAGTGTTGTGCAACCACCACCTCTATCGAGCACCAAAACGTTTTCATCGCCTCCCCAAAAGAAACTCTGTTCACTAAAGCAGCCACTTCCCGTTCCCTCTGCCAGCCTCCAGTAACCACCAACCTACCTTCTGTCTCTATGGATTTACCACTCTGGGTATTTCATGTAAATAGATTCATGAATATTTGTCTTTTTGAATTTGGCTTCTCCCACTCAGCTTAATGTTTGCAAAGTCCATCCATGTTGTAGTATATGTCACCACTTCATTCTTGTAAAAAAAAATCCTCACCCAAGGATATGTTTTTATTGATTTTAGAGAGAGAGAAAGGGAGGAAGAGAAATATCTTTGCAAGAGAGAAACATCAATTGGTTGCCTCCCCCACGTGCCCCAAACAGGGATTGAACCAGAAACTTAGGTATGTTCTCTGACAGGGAATAGAATCCACTACGTTTTTGTGTACGGGACGATGCTCCAACCAACTGAGCCACCTGGCCAGGGCACTGTTTCATTCTTTTTCATAGCTGAGTAATATTCCACAGGATGGACAGACCACACTGTGTTTATCCATTTATGTGTTGACTAAGGGCCCAGTGCACGAATCCGTGCACCTTGAAAGGAACTGTGGGCCACGAGGCTGTGGTAGGCACAGGGGCAGGTCTCGGCCCATCCTCCGTGCCCCCGTCTGGCCCCTCCCACCACGGCCCCAGTCCCGTCTGCTGGCAGCCCCCGCTCCGCTGCTGCTGCTCCCACGTGCTGTTGGTACTGGCCCCACTCGAACCTGCTGATGGTGTGGAGCAATTGGGACTGGTGCCAGCAGCGGGTGCGAGTGGCGGCTGCTGCCCCGATCACCCCTCAGGAGCAGGGGGGAGGTGGAAGGTCCTCAGGGGTGATCAGGACCGACAGGTGCCGCTGATGGTGCTGAGTGATCGGGACTGGCACCAGGCACTAGCAGTGGGTGCAAACGGCGGCTCTTGTGCCGGCAGCGGGTGTGAGCAGGGCCAGCGCTGGCAGCAGGTGCGAGCGCCGGGCGGGACCACGGTGCGCGGGAGCAAAGAATTTTCAGTAACCTCCAGAGGCTCGCCCCCATGACTGCGACCAGTGCCCACCTTGGTCTAGTGCCCCCTCTCACCTGCTTCCCCATCCCACCTCAGCCAACACCCACCATGTTCTGCACACGCCCCCTGGTGGTCAGCGCATGTCATAGTGACTGGTTGGACTGGTTGGTTGTTCCGCCATTTGGTCTATTTGCATATTAGCCTTTTATTATATAAGATGGGCAGTTCAAGTTTTTACAAATGAAACAACCTGTGTACGAAACACCAGATCACAAAACACACAGCTCCCCCCAAGCTCACTCATGCCCCGTCTCAGCAACTATTAACCCCGTCCCCCAGGGACTGCCACTCTCCTAGCTTATAACAGCAGAGGCAGTTCTTTCCGCCCTTGACCAAGGGCAGTGGTCGGCAAACTGGGACTGGCGAGCCACATGTGGCTCTTTGACCCCTTGAGTGTGGCTCTTCCACAAAATACCGACTTCTGCACATGGGCCACGAAGTTTCAATCGCACTGTACGTGCGCGCCCGCACGTGGTATTTTGAGGAAGAGCCACACTCAAGGGGCCAAAGAGCCGCATGTGGCTAGCGAGCCACAGTTTGCCGACCACTGACCTAGGGGATCACTCAGCAGCTACTCTTCTGTGTCTGGCTTCTTTAGCTACTTGGAGAGGTTCTCGCATCCTGCGTGTGGGTTGTGAGGTGCCTCTCCAACTCTGTGGACGACATCTCCCACTAGGAAACATCCTACTGTAAACCCAGGACACACCTTTGTGTATATAACCAAATTGTCCTTAGGGTTGTTCTGTCCAACACAGAAGCCACACTTGGCTATTCCACATGGAAATATGGCAAATCTGAATTGAGATGTACCCTCAATGGAAAATACAAACCAGGTTTTATAGACTGGATAAGACAAGAAGAATGTAAAAGATATCATGAATTTTTAGATGGATTACATGTTGAGATAATAGCATTTTGGCACATATTGGGTTAAATAAAATAGATGATTGCCCTGACCAGTTTGGCTCAGTGGCTAGAGCGTCGGCTTGTGGACTGAAGAGTCCCAGGTTCGATTCCGGTCAAGGGCATGTACCTTGGTTGCGGGCACATCCCCAGTAGGGGGTGTGCAGGAGGCAGCTGATGGATGTTTCTCTCTCAT